TCCGCTCGTCGCCGGCGGCGTCGTGGATGAGAATTTGTCAACTCGTCGTCCTCGTCGTCTCGTCGACGCGATTCGATTCTCGTCACCGCCCTCGCGGACGAGGGACGGCCGCGCCGCCTCCTCCCCCAAGCGACGGCCACTGCCCTCCTCCCGCGGCGTTCACGTCCGCGACGGTGCCGCCCTGAGGCGGCAGCGGCGGCTTCGGCGGCGCGTCGCCGAACCTAAACTGCGTCAAAGGCGGCGGCTGCACGGCGCCGCGTCGCCCCGCCGCGCCGCCGCCGCCGCCGCTCGCGCGGCTCGACGACGCGTCGGACTGGGAACCGCCGCTCGCGAGCGGCCCGCTCGGGTCCATGCTCGACCTCCACGCGCTCAGCGCTATGTCTCTGGGCGACAACACCGCCGCGGAGGGGTGGGGTACCCCGGGGCCGCCGCCGAGCGGCGGCGGCGGCGACGCGGCGGGGCGACGCGGCGCGGCGCCGCCGCCGCCTTTGCCGCAGTTTAGGTTCGGCGACGCGCCGCCGCCGCCGCCGCCGCCGCCTCAGGGCGGCACCGTCGCGGACGTGAACGCCGCGGGAGGAGGGCAGTGGCCGTCGCTTGGGGGAGGAGGCGGCGCGGCCGTCCCTCGTCCGCGAGGGCGGTGACGAGAATCGAATCGCGTCGACGAGACGACGAGGACGACGAGTTGACAAATTCTCATCCACGACGCCGCCGGCGACGAGCGGAGACCGGGCCTTCCCGCGGTAGCCGTTCATCATTCTTTCGAATCACGACGTGATCGCTCGCTCGCGTCGCGCGGCGTCCGCGCGCGTCCCCGCCGCGAGGCTTCGCTCCTTGTCACTCCTCGACTTCCCGTCGTAGTCGCGAATTCGATCGAACAGAAGGAAAACCGTTTCGTTTCTCGCGCGATCGGAATTTCTACCGTTTCGCCTCTCGGGGGCGTTTCGCTGACAAGAAGCCGAAAAGTCTGACTAAATGCTCATACGACCGATACGCCGAAATTTCCCCATCACGCCTCTTGAAATCTCGTGAAAAGCAACGACGAAACGTCTCGGAGGCGCATTCCCCGCGCGCACGCCGCACCCGCTCCGCACGCACGACATCGACATTCACACGATGAACGCCGCAGCCTGCGTCGCCTCCAACGCCGCCGCCGCGACGCGCGCGATGCCGCCGTCGTTCAAGATCCGCAAGGTGGACGACCGCGAGCGACGCGCGGATCTCGAAAAGCAGGTCGAGGCCGCGCTCAAGTACGCGCGCTCGCGATGCGAGAATCGCGCGCGCAAGCCGCCGCACGCGCTCGCGTCGCCCAAGGCAAGCAAAGTCAACGCCGAGTCCGTCCTCGCCGGGTACGGCGTCGACGTCCTCGCGGCCGCGAAGCTCGACGGCGGCGAGAAGACGATGTCGGTCGTCCGCGCGTCGAGCCTCGTCGAGCTCGACAAGTGCCTCCGCGCGCGCGCGGAGCAATCCATCGTCGTCTCGCGCGCGCCGACGCGCGCGACGGACGTCCACGCGTTCCTCGCCACGGACGAGGACGCGATGGACGACGACATCCGCGACGACGTCGCGCACCTGTACGTCACGTACGACGACCCCGCGAGCCAGCACACGCTCGCGGTCGCGCGCGTGCTCGGCCTCGGGAGCGGCGGCGTCTCATCCGACAAGAACATCGACATCGACATCGACCGACCGCCGCTGCTCGTCGACCGGTTCCTCTCGACCGGCCTCTCGATGTTCGGCCCGGGCGCGAACCCGGTGAAGACGCCGTCGATCGTCCGCGCGCTGCTGTACGAGGCGTGCGAGGAGCTCGCGCGGCGCGACGGGCGGCGCGTCGGCGAGACGTTCGACGTCGTCGCCGTCCGCGGGACGCTGCCGGCGACGGCGAAGATCGCGTCCGAACGCGCCGCCGACGCCGCGAACGGCGACGCGAAGCCGACGGCGTGGGCGACGCGACGGCTGAAGCGGTACTCGGTCGCGATCGACGCGCCGCCAGGGGTCGACGGTTCGATCGATGAACCGACGCGGCAGCCGGTCGCCGCCGCGCCCATCGTCGTCGCCGCGCCCGCTTGCGCGAGGGCGCAGCCGCCGATGCACTCCGACTCGGCGAGAGATCTGAGCGTCGACCGCCGCGCGACCGACGACGCCGCCGACGCCGACGCGTCCGATCCCGTCGCCGCCGCGAAGAAGGCGCTCGAGGACGCGATGCGCGCGCTGAAGGAAGCGGAGGCGAACGCGCAGATCGCGGCGGAGAAGAAGGAGGCGCAGGCGCGGGCGGAAGTCGTCGCCGCCGCGCCGGCGGTCGCCGCCCTGCCAGCCGTCGTCGACGTCGAGCTTCCGCCGCCGCTTTCGTCGCCGGTCGAGGCTGTCGCGAACGAAGCGGACGAGCAGCTGAAGACGATGCGGCTGTCGCTCGCCACCTCGCGCGCGGCGCACGCCGCCGCGGACGCGATCCTGTCCTCCGTGAACGGCCCAGACGCGAGCGTTACGGAAGGTCCGCCGCGAGCGGCGCGGAGGGCGTCGGACGCGTTCACGAGAGCCGACGACGGCGCGCACGAAAAAATCGTCGCCGACGTCGCCGCCGCGGTCGGCTGCGTGCTGCTCCCGTCGCTGACGCCGCGCGCGAAGGCGTGCGACGCGACCGTCCGCGGGCTCGCGGGCGTGAGCGTCGGCGGCGGCGACGCGGACGCGGGGCTTTTGCGCGCGCTGCGCGATTTCGCGGCGGCTTCGGCGAAGGAAAAGAAGCGCGCCGGGGCGGACGGCCCGGACGTCGCCGACGACTTCAAGCTGTCCCCGTGGAAGGCGAACGACGCGAGGAGCGGCGGCGACGAGCTGAAGCGCCTCGCGAGCGACGACGCGCACATGCTGATCGCCGCGTGCGCGCGGATGAAGCCGCTGGGATCCGAGGAGAAGAAGAAGAACGCCGCGGGGCCGCACCGACGGCTGATGCGATTCGAGCCGCGTCCCGCCGCCGCCGCCGCCGCCGCGCCGGCCGCGAAGAAGCCGCGCGCCGCCGCCGCGCCGGTCGCGAACTCCGACGCCGAGGTCCCGTGGGACCCGCTCGTGGACACGGACTCCGACGCCGACGCCGACGCCGACGTCGACGTCGCGCGCCCGGACGCCGCCGCGACCGCCGAGAGACTCGCCGACGTCTTGGACGACCTCTACCAAACCTCCGGCGACGCCGGGGTGCTCCTCCTCGCGTCCACGACGCGCGACAGCGCGCCGAACACGTTCCAGGGCGCGCGCGCCGGTTCAAGGCACGTCGTCAACACCGTCGCGGTCGAGCACGCGTGCGGCGCGGTGACCGGCGTGCCGATGCATCAGCTGTTGCTGCAAGCCGCGGAGGTCGGCCTCGTGATGGATCCGAGCGGGTGCTTCGTCGCGCCGAATTCGGATTCGTCCGCCGCGGCGAACGACGAATCGCAGGCTGACACGTCATCACCCGTCCTCGGCGTCGGCGTCGCGCGGCTGCGGCGCGTCGGGTACAGCGTCCGGTTCGCGCGCGAGGACGACGTCGACGCGCTCGTCGCCGTCGAGGCGCAAAACTGGGGCTCGAAATCCGCGATGCGCACGCCGCGCGCCACCATTCTCGACCGCGTCGTCAACAACCCCGCGGGGAACCTCGTCGTGCAGTCCGACGACGGCGAGGTCAAAGGCGGCGTCTACTTCCAGCGCGTGAACGCGCCGGACGACGCGACGGTGTACGACTGGCACAACAAAGAGCGCGCGCGCCTCGTCGAGGGACCGTACGTGCAGCTGATGGACATCCACGTGTGCCAACTCTTCAGCGCGACGCTCGGACGCGCGGTGGGGAACGAACTGCGCGAGTTCGTGCTCAACGTCGCGCTGACGATGCCCGGCGTGAGAGGCGTGTGCGCGGTCACGCGCACGCGCGGGTACCGGAACAAAGAGAAGGTCACCGGCGTGAAGTACGAGGACTACGTCATGCAGAGCGAGGGGAAGCACGACCGCGGGCTGTTGTTTCACACCGGCGGCGGCGCGCGCGTGTTAAAGCCGGTGCATAACTGGCGCCCCGCGGACCACGAGAACGACGGCAAGGGGACGCTCATCCTGTACGACCTCCCGAAGCTGTCCATGGCGCGGATCGCGTCCGCGAAGATCGCCGCGCATCGGTGGAAGACGCGCGCGATGAAGCGCGCGGGCGAGACGAAAGCGGCGGCGGCTTCGGCGGCGGCGGCGGCGGCGGCGGCTTTGAAATCGAAGCCGCCGGCTTCGGCGGCGGCGTCGCCGACGTCCGTCGCGGACTTCGACGACGCCGCCGCCGACGATGACGTCCCGACGGTGTTCGTTTCGCTGAACGCCGGGCCGTCGTCGGAGAAAATCTCCGACAAAATCTCCGACGGATTCTCCGACGCGGTGCGCGCGCACGCGCTCGCGGAGTCGTGGAGCTCCTCGGACGACTCGAACTGACGCGGCGCCGCGCCGGGTCGCGGGCGGAAGTGCGCGCGCGAAGTGAGAGATGCGAGAGTGTACGAGTATGATATGATAAGTTATGATGAGTGTGTATTTCGCGTGGTTTCGTTCTGTTTCTTACATGTGCATCTCATCTCTTCGCGCGCTTCGCCGCCGTCTTCGCGGCGGCGGCGGCTTTGCGTTTCTCCGCCGCCGCGGCTTTCTTCGCCGCCGCCGCGGCTTTCTTCTCCGCCGCCGCGACTTCAAGATTCATCAATTCTCTCACCTCTTTGAGAAGACCCTCGGACCTTTTGTAACCGTTCTCTACGGCCTTCGCGAGCCAGTGTTCCGCCTTACCGAGGTCTCTCTCACAGTGTCCATAACTGAAATAGTAACAGCGCCCGAGGTTATTTTGCGCATATGCGTAACTCTGCTCCGCGGCTTGATGATACCACTTCACCGCCTCTGCCATGTTCTTCTCTTCGCCTTCTCCGTGTTCGTAGGAGACCCCAAGGTTATTTTGCGCATATGCGTAACTCTGCTCCGCGGCTTGATGATACCACTTCACCGCCTCTGCCATGTTCTTCTCTACGCCTTCTCCGTGTTCGTAGGAGACCCCAAGGTCATATTGCGCACCTACGTAACCATGCTCCACGGCTTGACGATACAGTTTCACCGCCTCCACGTGGTTCTTCTCTACGCCGCGTCCGTGATAGTAGCAGCGCCCAAGCCTATTTTGCGCACCTGCGTGACCCTTCTCCGCGGCTTGACGATACCACTTCACCGCCTCCTCGTACCGCTCTGCGCCGTAGTGCTCCACGCCGAGTTTACACTGCGCGTCCGCGTCGCCGCCCTCCGCCTTCTTCCGCAGCTCGAACGTCGCGTCGCTCTCCCCCGGGAGCCGCCGCGCCTCCCTCGGCGCGCCCGTCGTGGCCGCGTCGCCCTCCATCGCGCTCGTGAGCTCGTCGCTGAGTTTCTCCCCGTCCGACGCGCCGCTCGCGGACCCGCTCTGCTCGTTCTTCGGAACGACGCGGACGACGAGTCGCCCTCGCCGCGCCTCCTCCTCCAGGTCCTCCTCCATATCCTCTTCGTTCCTCGCGATCGCGGGCCACGCGCGCGCCGGCGGGTCCTCCCTGAACGCCTCGCGGTACTTCGCGAGGACGCGCGCGTACGCCTCCATCTCCGCCGCGTCGTTCGCGTTCACCCCCGCGCTGTCCTCGTTCGCGTGGTCCAGAACGTCCCCGAAGACGCGATCGCAGAACGAGACGTAGTCGCGAGTGCCGTTCAGCGCGTGCTGCCGCCACGCCTCGCCGACGACCGCGCTCGGGCGCAGCGCGATCGTCTTGAACGTGTTCTTCTATATCGTCATGAAACGCAGGTACTCCCGCAGGAGCGCGCGCGCGTCGTCCTCGCGGTCGAACCCGCGGACGTGGCGTCGGATGTTACCTAGCAGGCGCTCTTCCGCGTCGGCGTCGCCGACGGGCTCGACCGCGAGCAGCGTCGGCGCGAGCGGGTTCGGCGAGGGCGGCCTCCTCGAGACGACGCGCGCGACGACGCGCGCGGCGTGGCCGGAGGAGCACGCGACGGAAGCGGTCATCGGAGCGTCGACGGCGGGTCGTCGGGGCGCTTCGGAGTGTGTCGAGGAGGTTGCTGATGCGTCGGATTTTGATTTTTTTTTTTTAGAATTTGATTTTCGGCCTCGAGTCGTCGTCCGCGCGTCCTCGCCGTCTCCGCGACCGTGACCGCGACCGTGACCGTGACCATCTGTGCGTTATGTCCACGTGTTACATGAGCTATCTATCCGCGCGGCGTCGTCCCGTCCACCCTACCCTCGTCCACCTTATTTAACCCGTTTCATCCATTCCTCGGAGGACGACGAGCTCCACCCGTCGTCGTCCTTCTCGTCGTCCGCCCCCGCGTCGTCGCCGCCGTCGCCGTCCGCCTCGCCGTCGCCGCCCTCGCCGGCGGCGGCGTCCGCCGCGCTCTCTTTCTTCAACCTCGCCACGTTCTCCTTCCCCTCCTCCTCCTCCAGCCGCTTCTCGTACCACTCCGCGAAGTCGTTCCACACCGACGGCGCCTCTCTGCGGTACCTCTGATACTCCTCCTCGGTGACGTCGGCGAGGCATCGATCCTCGTCCTTTCCGAAGAAGTCCGTCGCGACGAACACGCGCCCCAACGCCCTCGCGTTATCCTTGAACCGCAGATACTTCCTCGGCGGCGTCTCGGAGATGATCCCGGTGTAGTCTTCCTCCGGCTCGAACGTCTTGAGCTTCCCGTTGGCGTCCACGTGCACGATGACGTCCGCCCACCCCGCGCGTCTGTCTTCTTTCTCGCGCATGAGATTTAAAAGGCCCTCCGTGCCGATGGTGTAGTTGGCGTACTTCGTCGCCGGCCCCGGGAAGTCTTTCAGCGCGGCGCACACGAGCCCGCAGTCGTGCACGATGAGCGGGCGCTTCAGCTCCTCGAACGCTCGCCGCGCCTTGTCCATCGCGACCGCCTTCACGGAGTCGGCTTGGATCTCCGGGATTTTCAAATCCACGCCCTGGACCTGGACGCGCGACAGCGACCGCAGCGACAGCGCGAGCCTCGCGCGCGTCAGCTTCCCCGTGTTCCCGGTCACGAACACGAGCGGCGGCGGCGGCGGTATGGGCGGCGGCGAGAACGACGCCGCCTTCGGGGGCGAGTACAGACCCGGCATGAGCCCCGCGCGCGAGAACGGCTTCATCCCGGGCGGCGACGGCGGGCGGTTGCCGCTGCCGTCGTTCGCGCCCGCGCCCGAGGGCTGCTGCTGCATTCCGGGGAGGATCCCGGGGATGGGCTGGAATCCGGGCATCAGGCCGGCGGCGTGCGAGCCGCCGGCGGCGTATCCGGGCATCATCGCGACCGCGACGGAGTCGGTGGAGGCAGGCGCGCGGGGACGGAGTGAGGCTATGAGACGCGCGACGCGACGGTTCGAAGGCGAAGGCGTCAGAAAAAAGTTCGGTCGTCGCGTCGCGTCGCGTCCTGTCTGGTCGCGTCGCGTCGTCATCAATTCCTACACCCGGGTGCCCTAATCGGCGCTCAGATCGAGCGGCGCGACGGCACGCGATCGACTCCCAGCACGGCGCGCGCGCGCGTCCCCGCGGGCCGCGGTCGTCGTCGTCATGTCCGCCTCGAGCGACGAGCGGCTGTCGCGGACGATCGAGGGCGCGTTCCGGCTCACGCTGACGGAGAGCGCGGGATCCGACGAGTGCGTCTTCCTCGCGGACCTCGCGACCGAGCTCCGATCGGAGGGCGTCTCCCCGCCGTTCGCGATCACCGCGGATAACCTCGAGCGCGTGCTCTTCGCGCGCTTGTCCACGCCGCAGGACGCGTTCCCGGAGGGGGCGTGGAGGAGAGACCCGGAGGCGGCGCCGTTCGCGTGGCTCGTGCGATCGTACCTCCGATGCTTCCACGCGTCGCGCAAGTCCGCGAGCTCGAAGGACCTCCAAGAGAAGCAGGCCGCGCTCCTCGCGGCGGCGAACGAGCTCTGCGTGTCCTACTGCGGCCTCCTCCTCAACCCCGCGATGGACGGGATGTTCCCGCAACCAGAGGCGGCGGCCGCGCGGGGGCCGTCGCAGCTGTTCGACGAGATGACCGGCGCGGATGGCTTGCCGCCGGGATTTCTCGACGCGTTCGCGAGGAGGTTCGAGAGCGAAGGCCTCCCGGAGATGCTCGACCCGTCGCTGACGCAGCTCCCGAGCCTCATCAACGGCGTGTCGCCGCTGGGCGAGGTGCACAAGCCGCTGACGCTGCTGTGCCAGCTGGCGGCGTGCAAACCCGTCGCGGCTCGGCTCGCGGCGCATCCGAAGTGGAAGCCGACGACGACGACGACGACCAACGCCTTCCCCGGGATGGCCGGGATGGCCGCGTCGTCGTCGTCGTCGTCGTCGTCGTCCGCGATCAACGGCCGCGCGTTCGAGGACGAGTCGCTGCTCGGGCCCTTCTTCGGGTGCAGCGCGCTGCCGGACCCGGCGCTGCTCCAGCGGCAGCCGTCAGTCGCGGAACAGTGCTTCAGGTGCGTTCTATACACTGGTCCCCATACGACCGCGTCGGCGTGGTGAACGCCAATCCTTAAGGACTTTTGCCGGCACATCTCTCCGCCCATCCCTTGCGGTCAATCCCCGCCCACGATGCCTTTCAACTTCAACTGACGCCTTTCAACTCCACCCCGACATCGCTTTGTATGGAACGACCCTCAGCGGCCTCGAGAGCAGACGCGGCGCGGACGTCGAACAGTCGATTCACACGCTGCGCGCGGTGACGAAACAAACACAGGAGGGGCTGTATCAGACCCTGTACGCGATGCTGAAACACGGCGGGGACGTGCGAGAGGGCGTCGTCGCGTGGCTCGCCGCCGCGTGCGACGCGAACGCGGGGCGGAGCAAGATGCAAATCGCGCCGCTCCTCTGCTCGTCGCACGGGTTCGCGCATAACCTATCGATGACGACGCTTCGACTCGCGGCGCCGTTCACCGAGCCCGGGGCGATGAAATTCACGAAGATCGACCCGAGCTACGTGCGGTCGAGAAAGTGCAGGCTCAACTTGACCGAGGTGACCAGGGTCAGCGCGACGGAGGAGCAGGCGCGTGCGGGCGCGTTGACCGAAGCCGAGGAGACGGCGACGGAGAGCTACGGGTTCATCTGCGAGTGTTTCTTCCTCGCCGCGCGCGCGATGCACTTGGGGTACGTCAAGTGCGTCAGCGAGCACACGTCGCTCGCGCGCGAGCTCCAGGACCGGCAGTCGCAGCTCGGGGACGTGGACGCGATGCGCGCGCAGTGGGCGGCGTCGTTGCCGGGCGGCGCGCCGAACGCGTTTCAATCCGCGCAGTTTGACAGGCACATCGGCCAGCTCACGAACGAGCTCGCGCGGTGTAAGGAACGGTACGCGTGCTTCGATAGCGTGCTGCAGGACCCGAGGGCGATCGGCGAGGCGATGGCGTTCTATCGGCTCGTCGCGACGTGGTTGATATGGGTCGCGACGGACGGGAGGGACGCGGCGGGGGGGGCGACGTTGGCGCGAGAAGTCGCGGGGAAGACGGGCGGCGGCGGCGGCGGCGGCGGCGGCGGCGGGTTACTTCCGACGCCGTGCCCGCCTCGGTTCGCGCTCCTCCCCGAACACATCCTCGAGGACTGCGCGGACTTTTTGTTGTACCTGTGCCGCTTCTGCGCGCAGAGCGGCGGCCCGAACCGCGACGTGTTCAACCACGAGCGTCTGGACGAGCTCATGTCGCTCTTCGTGTTGCTGTTGGGTTCTCCCGAGTACGTCAAGAATCCGTACCTACGCGCGAAGTTCGTGGAGGTGCTGCGGCACTGGCTCCCCGGCGACCCGGCCGAGCCGCGCGGGCGCTGGAACCCCGCGATGGCGAACTTGTTCGAGGGCCACCAGCTCGCGCTGAAGCACCTGATCCCGTCGGTGTTGCGGCTCTACGTCGACATCGAGTTCACCGGCGCCGCGAATCAGTTTTACGACAAGTTCAACATCCGGTACCAGATCGGCGAGATGTGCGAGTACCTCTGGAAGGTGGAGCCGCACCGCATCGCGTGGAGCGAGCTCGCGATTCGCGACCCCGAGTTCTACATGCGGTTCCTGAACATGCTCATCAACGACGCGGTGTGGCTGTTGGACGAGAGCATGCAGAAGCTTCCGGAGGTGAGAGAGTACGACCAAGATTCGAGCGACGTCGACGCGTGGTCGCGGCGGCCCGCGACGGAGCGCGCGGAGCGCGAGCGCGCGAACGCGCAGACGACGCGCGGCCTGAAAAACGACCTCATCCTCGCCAAGGTGCACGTCGGGATGATGGAATACACGAGCCGGGACATCGCGGCGCCGTTTTTGTTGCCGGAGATGGTGGAGGCGCGTTCTATACACTGGTCCCCATACGACCGCGTCGGCGTGGTGAACGCCGTTCCTTAAGGACCTTGCCCGGCGCATCTCTCCGCCCACCCCTCGCTTTCAATCCCCGTTCGCGACGCCTTTCAACTCCAACTGACGCCTTTGAACTCCACCCCGACATCGCTTTGAATGATGGAACAGCGCGTGGCCGCGATGCTCAACTATTTTCTGCTGTTCCTCGCGGGGCCCGAGCGCACCAAGCTGAAGGTCAAGGACCCGGAGAAGTACGGGTGGAAGCCCAAGGAGCTGCTCGGGATGATCACGCAGGTGTACGTGCACCTGTTCGAGGCGGACAAGGACGGCGCGTTCGTCGCCGCCGTCGTCGCGGACGGCCGGAGCTATAGAGACGAGGTGCTCACGGAAGCCGCGTCGCTCTTGCGGCAGCTCGGTCTCAAACCCGCGCACGCCGTCGCGAGTTTCGATCGACTCGCGGACGCGTGCCGGATGTCCGCGGCGGCGATGGAGGAGGAGGAGGCGGACCTGGGGGAGATACCGGACGAGTTTTTGGACCCGGTGATGTGCACGCTGATGACGGATCCGGTGAAGCTGCCGGGGGGCGCGTCGATGGATCGCGCGAACATCATGCGGCATCTCCTGAGCGACCAGTCGGATCCGTTCACGCGCGCGCCGTGCTCGATCGAGGATTTGGTGGACGACGTCGAGCTCAAGGGGAAGATCGACGCGTGGGTGAGGGAGCGGAAGGGGATGGCCGCGGTGGGGAGAGGAGGCGCGTGACGCGCGCGAGAGACGACGAGAGGAGCGCCTTCGTAGATGAAGAGAAGACGACTGATTTTTTGCGACGATCGCGTTTGCGACGATTACATGTGCTCGCGCGTCCGTCGTCTAGTCTATCGATGATTCGCGAAAGAAGCGCGGCCCTCCTCGTCCACGGACTCCATCTCGAGATCTCTGTACGCCCCCGCCTTCGCCCCCCCCGCTCCCGGTCCCGGCGACAGGTTCAAAATCGCCACCGCGCCGCCCTCCGTCCCGATGTCGACGCTCGTCCTCCTCGCCGCGATCGTCGCTCCCCCCTCGCCCCCGGTTCGATCCCCGCCGCTACCCCCGTACTCCTCCTCGCGCGCCGCCACAAGCTTCGCCGCCGCCTCCTGCTCGTTCGCCTTCGCCTTGCTCACGACCGCGACGCCGCACATCGTGACGAACGACCCCGCCGCGCGGTCCCACCCGACGGCTGAGGGAGGGTCGGGGTGGCGTTGAAAGGCGCGTCAGGGGTGGAGTTGAAAGGCATCGCGTTCGGGGATTGAAAGCGAGAGACGCCGGGAAGTGAAGTCCTTAAGGAACGGCGTCAACCTCGCCGACGCGGTCGTATGGGGACCAGTCCGATACTATCTTATAGAACGCGCCTTCGTCCAGGAAAATATCCGCGAGGATCACCGTGAAGATCACCTGCACGCCGCTGTACACCGTCGGCAGCACCCCGCTGACGTGCGATATCGCCCAGCTGTTTATCCCGTGCGCGAAACACGAGGACATGATCCCGGCGTACAGCACCGCGAGGTACGCGTGCGCGGGCAGCGTGGACCACTCGACGCGGCGCACCAGCCCGCGCACGCCGACTGAGACGTCGGGGTGGAGTTGAAAGGCGTCAGAAGCGGAGTTGAAAGGCGTCGAGGGCGGAGATTGAAAGCGAGGGGTGGGCGAAGAGAGACGCCGGCAAAAGTCCTTAAGGAACGGCGTTCACCACGCCAACGCGGTCGTATGGAGACCAGTGTATAGAACGCACCCGACGCGATGACGATCTCGCTGACGACGGTGGCGGCGAATAAGAACAACATCGGCCCGGGCGGCGGACGGTCGAGCCCTTCTATGACGACGTCGTCGTCGTCGTCGTCGTCTTCGTCTTCGAAATGACTAGTAGTAACGCTCCTCCTCGTAACGGCAGCTGTAGAATTCGAACCGTCACCAGCGCGGACGCGTTTCAGCGCCAACGCCAGGAGCACGACATACGTCGCGTACGCGATCGGCTGCGTCATGAGAAAGATCGAGTCCACCACCCCCGGCGCCTCGTCCTCGTTCGTCCACACCCGCAGCGTGATCGTCGTCCCGACCACGCTGACGAACAGCCCGCCCGCCTTCATCGCGTCCACGCGCTCGATGCGAAGCGCCGCGCTCATCGCCGCCGCCGCGAGCGGAATCAACGGCTGCACCATCGCGGTGTAGTTGGGCCCGCTGCGCTGATTGCACACGAACACGAGCGCGTAGGCGGTGCCGATGGCGGCGCCCATCGGCAGCGGCCACGCGCGCTCCCACCCGCGCAGCGCGCGACCGCCTTCGCGTCTCGCGAGCCAGTACAGGAACGGCAGCGCGAGCGCGAGTCGCAGCGCGCAGAAGGAGAAGGGTGGGATGTGATCTAACGCGCTCGCCGCGGTGATGTGCATGCCCGCGAAGAGGAGCTGCGCGAGGACGAGCGCGCCGTGGCAGAAGGCGTTCGACGGGCGCGCGTACTGCGCGAGAGACCAGTCGAGGAGGGCGCGGGACGCGGCGCGGACGGCGGGCGCGAAGGTGCCGCCGCCGCCCGGGGGCGCCATGAGTGACGTCGCGTCTCGCGACTCGGCACTTTTTGGTGGTTTACGCGTTTTCCGAGAAGAGGGTGATGAAAAGACGTTCGTCGAGTCTCGCGGAGCTCCCTCCGAGCCGCGCGCGCGGCGTCGTGATGATGTCGATACACGTCGTTCGTCTGTTTATACAACTACATGCACGCGTCGCGACTATCCGTATGATACATCAGGAGCTCTCGACGACGGCGCCGCCGCCGCTCCGGGCGCGACGGTCGACGGTTCACGTCCCCGCCGCCGCCGCCGCCGCCGCCGCCGCCGCCTTCCCGCCCTCCGCGAGCGACCACTTCCTCCCGTCCCGCAACCACGGCAACCGCCCCGCGTCCGGATCCTCCGCGGCGTCCTTCACCTCCCTCTCGTACGTCTCCGCGTCGATCCCCGCGAGCGCGCAGAACGCGGCGTCCGTCCGCGTCATCGCGTACGTCGCCGTGCATGGCCTCGCGTCGCCGCCGCCCGCGCCGACGCCGCGCGCCATCAAGCCCTTCTTCCGCAGCGTCCGGACGCGAGGCACGATCCGCCCTTTCAGCGAGTAACTAACCAACATCACCGCGGCGTAAGCGTCGCACGCGGGGAAGAACTCGTGCGTGAGGTACGCCACCGTCGGCCGCAGCTTATTGTCCACGCTGTACGCGAGCACGTTCGGCCGCGACTCGACGACTTTCGCCGCGCCGGCGACGCCGAGCTCGAGCTCCTCCGCGAGAAATCGAATCGTCGGCGCGACGTTCTTCTCCACGCTCAGCGACAACACCCCGGGGCTCTTCGCGACGATATTCGCCGCGCGGTCCGCGCCGATATCGAGCGCGTCCGCGAGGTACGCCAGCTTCGGTCGCGCGGCGCCGTCGACGCTCACGGCGAGGAGTTCCGGGTGCCGTCGCAACGCGCCGTCGCGTCTCGCGTCGTCGCCGCGAAAGACGTCGGAGTAAAACGCGCGCTTCGCGCGCAGCGTACCCTCCACGCTCATGCAGAGCACCGCGGGTCGGCGCGTCGCGCACCTCGCGACGTCCCTCGGCGTCATCCCGAGCTCCTCCGTCAAGAACGCGAGCGTCGGCGTCAGGTTGTCGTCGATCGACTGCCACGCCAACGACGGCTGCTTACACAGCACGGCGCCGACGTCCTCGCGCGCGACGCCGCAGCGCTCGCGGAGCCACGCGGCGACGCGCTCGACGGACGCGAGCGAGCACACGAGGAGGCGCGCGTCGCGCCGCAGCGCCTTTTTGACCTGCGCGGGCGTCGCGCCGAGGCTGTCGATCAGGTACCGCACCTTGGGCGCGACGACGGACGCGACGTCGTAGCCGCGCAGCTTGGGCGCGCGCCGCAGCGCGTCGTCGATCTCCGTCGCGCTCATGGACAGCTCGGTCGCGAGGTACGCCTCGAACGGCGTCGCCGCCGCCGCCGTCGTCGCGGAGGAGGCGTCCGAGTTGGACGGGGAGGGCGCGGGCGAGGTCGTCTCCGTCGCGGACGCGGCGACGCGGACAGTTCGGACGGCGCGTCGCGTCATTTGACATCGGACGGAGCGAGGTGCGCGCGGAGCGACGACGTCGGACGCGCCGCGTCGCGCGAGCGGCCGCGGTCGCCGCGGAGACGCCGCGGTCGCCGCGAGCGCGACGGACGCCGGCGTCGTCGTCGTCGTCGTCGTCGTCGTCGCGAGCATGACCGACGGCTCGCGCGTCGAGCTGTGGCGAGGGATGAAGGGCCACGCCACCGCAGTTTATTATTTTCAAACGCGAAGCTATCTCGCGGACAGTGATCTCGGCGCCCCCGCGCGCGGATACCGTAACCCCCGTCGTCGCGCCCCCGACCCGCGCGCGATGACGTCCCCCGGCGGCGAGCGCGAGCGCGAGCGCTTCCGCCAGACCCTGGACGGGCTGCTGTACTTCAACCCCGACGAGCCGTCGTCGGCCGCGATCGGCGCACACCTCGGCGGGTCGTCCGCCCCCGCCTCCGCCTCCGCCTCCGCCGCGTCGCGAAGCGCGAACGAGCCGGACGCGCGCGGCCGCCGCGTGGCGCGCCCGGGCGACCGCGGAGACTTCCTCCGAAGGCTCGCGACGTTCGCGCCCGGGAAGTGGTTCGCGAAGCCGCCGATCTTGTCCCCGGTCCCGTGCGCGAGGAAAGGATGGGAGTGCGTCGCGGTCGACGCGCTGCGGTGCGAGGCGTGTCTCGCGCGCGTCATCGTCCGCGCGCCGCCGGACGCGACGCGCGAGCAGCTCCTGGAGATCGCGGTGAAACAGGCTGGGAAGCTCGACGACGCGCACGAGGAGTCGTGCGCGTGGAGAGGCGCGGCGTCGCCGATCGCGCTCGCGCGGTTCCCGCGGGTCTCGGACGAGGATCTGAGGAAAGATTTCATCGCGCGACGCGACGCGCTCGTCGCGGTCGACGCGCTGCCGCTGGTGACGTCGCCGATCAGAGACGCGCTGGACGTCTCGACGTGCGTCTCGACGACGCGCCGCGTCAAGTGGCTGGCGCGCGAGGCGACGAAGAGCGAGAGCGGCGGCGCGGAGGGCGAAGAAACGTCGACCGTCGCCGTCGCCGGAAAACCCGGACCGCGCGACGACGCGCACGCGGCGGCGGCGACGACGCTGGCGTTGACGGGCTGGCGCGTGGACTCGATCGTGCCGAACCGCGGCGTCGTGCTTCGCTGCGACATGTGCGAGTCGCGCGCGGCGGCGTGGAACTTCCCGAAAGGGACGACCGCGAAGCGCGAAGACGGCGCCGGGGTCGCCGCGGCCGGAGGGGTCGACGATTGGGTCGGCGCGAACGCGAAGCGGCGGAGAGCGACGGCGGCGGCGACGGGCGCGCAGCTCCTCGGCGCCATCGGCGGCGCGTTCGGCGCGTTCGGCGGCGCGATCGGGTCCATCGCGGGCGGGGCGTCGCCGTCCGTCCCGGTTGGGGGGAGCGCGTTCGGGAGCGGCGGCGGGTTCGCGTTCGGCGTCGGCGCGGCGACGTCGACGCCGTTCGGTGCGCCGCCGGCTTCTGCGGGCGCGGCGGCGGCGGCGGCGGCGGCGCCGGCGAGGGTCGCGGACTCGAGCCCGATCCGACCGTTCGGCGCCGCGCTCACCGCCGCGGGGGTCGACGCGTCCGCCGGGAAGCGCAAGCGCGGCGCGGGCGGCGACGAGGCGGAGGATAAGACGGCGGCGGAACCGGAGCCGACGCCGACGCCGACGCCGACGCCGCCGCCGAGCGTGCCCGGCGCGATGCACCCGCTGCGGCAGCACCGCGCGCACTGCGCGTGGGCGACCGTCAACGCGGACACGTTCAGCGGCGGCTTGGGCGCGGGCGCGGTCGCGGGCGTGCGCCCCGGGTGGGCGCGCGCGTTGGACGCGGCCGCGCCGGCGTCGGAGTTTATCCACCTGGACGACGGCGACGACGACGACGACGACGACGACTGCGACGGCGGCGGCGGAGCGAAAACTCCCGGGGGAGGGAACGACGCTGCGGGGGGGGGAGGGAACGTGGACGAGGACGGCGCGGCCGTGGACGGCACCCCCGGCGGGTCCGGGGTGAAGATCGATTACTCGTACTTGGGCGCGAGGACCGCGGTGGCGAGGTACGTCACGGGAGAGTCGTGAGCGCGGCGTTGGAGCGTATCTAGCGTTTTGAACGAACGGAAATTCTTTCTTCTTCATCACATGTCGTGTCGTCGGCACCACAACTCCCCCCATTCGAAAAATCTTTTATCATGACATTCACGACATGTGGTCCACTCGCACCTATCACAGGAGGCCATGATACCGTCGATCTCGTCGCTGGAGTGGAGACCGCAGACCCACGCTCTGCAACACTCACAAATTTCCCCGCCGTTGCTATCGTTCGCGCAGTACTCACACATCACGTTCGTGTCGGTTCCTTCGCAGATCACGCACACACCCACGCCCCTTCCGCAGAGAAGTTCTTCGCATACGAACGCGCCATCCATGCATCCCCAAACATCGAAAGGGCCTTCATCGAACGTCTTGACCTTGCTGCGGTCGTGTTTGACGTAAAAGTCCAGGCACCTCAGGTCCCAGGCCGCCACGGTCGTCCCCTTGAGTCGCATGCGGTCGAGCGTGACCCCGTCGTGGAGCTTTTTATAGGGCCATTCGGAGCCCGGCGGCAGCCTGATGTGGATTCCCTCGATGCGATCCATGAATTCTTCCATGTCGTCGATGGAGGCCTCTTCGAGTTTGGGGACGTGGTGAAGTCGAGCTCAGAGGGAAACGACGCCCTCTCTCTCCCCGCCTCGCGCCACACCCGCGACACGCACATCAGCGCCGCGCGCGTCGGGACGTCCTCGATCTTCGAGAGGATCACGCACGCGAGATCCGCGGCGACGTCGAAGCTTCCTGCCATGCCGTCCGAGCTCGCCGCGCGGGGCGAAGTGAAGCGCCCGCCGCGTCGTCGTGGCCTTTTTTCCTTCTGGGTGCGTGGTTCCGCCGGGCTCGTCCACGTCGTCGACAAGTCTCGTGTCAGGCTTATCCCGTCTCGTCGACGCCGACGCTCCGTCGCCGCGCCCTCCTCACACCACGCCGCGCCCGTCGCCGCGCGTCGATCGATCGCGCGCGTTCGCTTCGACACGCCACGCGACGCGCGACCGCATCGCTCACCGCGACGCGCTTCCGTCCGCCTCCCTCTCGGACGCGTCCGAACGATCGATCGCGTCGTCGATCGCGAGTAAAGGTGCCCATCTTCGCAACCGCAGTCGTCCACAGCGCGTCCGCCGCCGGTCTCGATGTCGTCCGCGCTCTCGACGCCGCCGCGCGTCTCCGCGCCGAGACGCGCGCGCGCGTCGCGCCGCCGCGCGTCGTCGGTCCGCCCCGCGGCGACCGCGAAGAAGCCCGCGACGACGACGACGCGCGATCGATCCGTCGTCGTCGACACGTCCTCGTCCTCCTCCGAGACGACGACGACCGCGACGACGAATCCGGTCGCCGCCGCGCTCGCGGCGCTCGTCCTCGCGACGTCCCCCGCGCCGGCGTCGCTCGCGTCGCTCGCCGCGTTCGCCGGCGACGGCCTCGCGGTCGGTCTCCTCTCTCACCCCGCCCCCGCGGAGGCGGCGCTAAGCAACCCGAACACGCGCCTGCCGCGCAACGGCGTGTCCGCGTTGCGCCGCGCGGTACCCGCGGTCAACCCGGAGGCGGGCGACGTCCAGCGTAACCTCGAAGAGGCGGCGTATCTGCTGCGTATCCCGCAGAGGAAACCGTGGGGCACGATGGAGGGCGACGTCAGGGCGAGCCTCGCGATCGTGCGGGAGAAGCGCGCGAAGCTCCTGGAGCCGGTGCCCAAGGCGCGTCCCATACACTGGTCTCCATACGACCGCGTTGGCGTGGTGAACGCCGATCCTTAAGGACTTCGCCCGGCGTCTCTCTCCACACACCCCTTGCTTTCAATCCCCGCCTTCGATGCCTTTCAACTCCGCTTCTGACGCCTTTCAACTCCACCCCGACGTTCGCTCGTATGGAACGACCCTAAGGACGGCGACGCGTTTAAAACCGCGGAGGATACGCTCGCGGAGTTGGAGCAACTCTTCGTCGAGCTCGGGCCGATCGCGGCGTCGCAGGACGTCGAGCGGTTCGACCGCGGCGTCGCGATGGCGTTAGACGCGACGTCCAGGCTCAGGGTGCTTCAAGCGCCCGGGCTGCCGTTCGACGTCCCGCGGCGGTACGACGCGCTGCCGCGTTTGACGGGCCGCGCGACGGTGGACCTCACGATTAAGGCGCGTTCTATCTTGCGTACGCTGGTCCCCATACGGCCGCGTCGGCGTGGTGAACGCCGTTCCTTAAGAACTTTCGTTCCCGGCGTTTGTTTCTCTCCGCCCACCCCTCGCTCACAATCCCGACGCACACACCTCGACGCCTTTCAACTCTGCTTCTGACGCCTTTCAACTCCACCCCGATATTCGTCGCTTCGAATGATGGAACGACCCTCAGAAAGCCGGCGACGGGACGTTCGGATTCGTCAACGGCGACGAGGTGAAAACCGCGACGCTTCGCGTCGTCGCGGACGGATACAACGCGCCGCTCACGGCGGGAAACTTCGTGAACAAGGTGTACAACGGGTTTTACGACGACGTCAAGCTGAAGAAGAGCGAGACGGCGACGCTCGTGGACGTGACCAACGCGCTCGCCGACGACACGCTGCCGCTGGAGGTCAAGGCGATGGACTTTTACGAGCCCAGGTGGCGGTCCGCGCTGAACGTGCAGGGCGGCGAGGAGATGCCGACGCTGCCGCTGAGCGTGAACGGCTCGATCGCGATGGTGCGGGGCGAGGAGGACGGCACGTCGTCGCCGGATCAGTGGTTCATCTACCAGTTCGACAAGCGAAGCGCGGGTCTTGGCGGCATGGCGTTCGAAGAGGTGCGTTCTTTACACTGGTCCCCATACGACCCCGTCCGCGTGGTGAACGCCGTTTCTTAAGGACTTCGCCCGGCGCTTCTCTACGCCCAGGCCACGGTTTCAATCCCCACCCTCGATGCCTTTCAACTCCACCTGACGCCTTTGAACTCCACCCCGACGTTCGCGCGTGAAAGGGCGAGTTCTCCGTGTTCGGATACGTCGTCGGGGGCGAGGAGGAGGGGTTCCTGTCGCAGCTCGCGACCGGGGACGTCATCGTGAAGGCGGATGTCGTGGAGGGGATGGATCGTCTCGTGAACGGCTCGCGGCGAACGCAGGTGACCGGTTTGATCGACAAGTCGGCGCCGCCATTTGGCGCGTCTGATGACGTCCCCGCCGCCGCCGCGTCGTCGGTGAAATTCGTCGGAAAATACGCGGATCCGAAACACCCCGGGTGCAAGCGCGAGGTGTCCGGGTCCGGGGATACCCTGGACGTCACCGGCACGGACGGCGCGCCCGGGTGTTTGAACGGCGAGCCGCAGAGACCGTGGGCGCTGACGGGGGTCGTGCGGTCCGAGGATGAGATCTTCATCGACTTTTCCCCGAAGGGCGGTCCGAGGGACCTGCTCGGGAAGTGGACGGGGAAGGGGATCTTGTTCCCGGACGGGAACGAGTGGAAGAAGATCGAGTAGTGATGCCGCGCGCGATGTGACGTGACGTGACGCGGTGTTGGCCCCACGTCGCGCGGCCGCGTCGTCGTGGCGTACTTCTCGCGAAGGAAGGAATGTATTTAAAAGAATTCATGCCTTCTTCGCGCTCCGCCGAGATTCGGCGACTAAGAGACGCTATCAATCACAACACGTGTCCGAGAGAGAGAAACTCCGCCTTCGCCGTCTCCGCCGTCTCCCCTGTCGTCTGAACACCCCCGAAACGCCCAGGGCGCGTACGTTACTACGCGCCCCCGCCGCGTCAGATCTCATCGCTCGTCAATCGCTCTCGCCGATTCGCCAGTTTTTTCGTAGCCGCGTCTACCCCGGGCGGGCCGCCGCGCGCGTAACGGCTGAATACCGCCAGTTACGTTACTCACCAGAGATAATACGCGCTCGCTGCACGCGCGCGATCACCCCGCCCGCACGACGCCGCGGCGCGTTTAAGAGCCGTGAATCTTGATCACGTCCTTCTTCGCGATCTTCTCGTCGATCAGAAACTGCGCGACGACTTTCCGCTGATCGCCTTGGAGCTGTATGATCTGCCCTAGGTCCGGGTCATCAACGATCGTGCCGTTGCAGTTGAACTTCTTCTTGCACTCCTTGAGGATCACCTTCTTGTTGATCTTGGGGTTGATGCCCTGCGAACGTGTGGTTAATTAATTAAGTGGTGAGGGTTAATTAACAGGTTGCTGAACGGGAGGGTCCTCGTCACGGTGTGGGCGAAAGAATAATATTATTCGTTGAGGGCGACGAAAACCAAACGACGACGGGGCGGGGGGGATCTCGCGCGCGCGCGCGCACCTGGAGCGTCGTCAGCGACTTGCGGCCGTTGCGCTGCTGCGTGCGGATGTGGATGTAGTTAGACTGAACGTCTTGGGCGTTGGAGCTATCTTGCTTAGCTTTCTGGCCAGACTCTCCTCCAAGGTCGTCGGCGAAGTCGAATTGGGGTCCTGCGGCGGAGAGAGCGAGGCCACGGCGCGGTCAGCGGCGACGCTCGGAAACGACGGCGCGCGACGCCGCGAGGGCGATCGAGAGGACTACGCGCGAACGAACGCGCGGAGACGGACGACGACATCGCGCGCCGCGAGCGACGGCGCGGCGCGGGACGTCGACGGCGACGCGGCGCGCGTCGTCCGCGCGCGCGCGATCCGCGGCGAACGATGAGAGGGAGGAAGGGCACCCCGCGGGCGGCCGAGAAAAAGCGCGTCGCGATCGTCGGCGCCGGAGATCGACGGTCGAGGACGCACCGAGACTGTCGAGAGCGTCGGTCATAACACGAATAGAACGTGCTTTTGGGTGCGTGCGAAAGCGCGGAGCCGAGGGTGGGTACTAGCGGCGGACGCGCTCGCGGGTGTGGCGGGCGGCCGGCGGAGGCGACCGGCTTCATCAGTTCGGAAATCGATGCCGACGCGGACTGGACAGGACGAGCCGAGCAGTGCACTCTGACGACTTCACGAAAACTGACGCGCCGGTGTTTTTTTGGTTTTGGTTTTGGTTTTGGCGGGCGGCGGCGCGTGAACGACGACGACGACGCGAGCGTTGTATATATCATACCGCGTATCACTCCGATATTAAACCTCGAAGTTCGACGCGCACGTCCTCCGCCTCTCATCCTCCGTCCGCGGGGGCACGCGCTCACCGCCCGATGTGCCTCAAGATCTTGTCGTCCGTCTCGAACGTCATCTCCTTCTTGTCCCTTCCGCTCGCGACGTAAAACGCGAACCGTTCCTTCAGATCCGACGCGAGGTCGTGCTTCGGCGCCCAGTCCAGAAGTTCCAGCGCTTTCGCGGGGTAGGAGTAGAAGTGGATCGGGCGGAACGGGAACGCCTTCTTGACCTCGACGCCGTCCGGGAGGTTCTTCGGGTCGTAGTTGGCGATCTTCGGCTCCGCGCCCGCGGCGGCGGCGCAGAGCTGCGCCATCCCGTTGAGCGTCACCGCGCGGTTCGTGACTGGTCGATCGGATCGGTGGTGGTGACGTGGAGGGATATGATTGGTCGGTTCGTGTAAATATCGTGATGCCATTCGTCGAGAGGAGATGGCGTGTCGGATCGTGTGGTGGTCGACGCGCGGACGTTTCCGCCGCTTTGAAAGAGAGAGAGAGAGAGGGAGGGCGTCGCGAACGCGTACCGGCGTTGAAGATTTGCCCCGCGGCGGCGTCGTTCCCGACCGCGGCGGCCATCATCGTCGCGACGTCCTCCGCGTGCGCGACGACGCTGAGCTGATCGCCGCTGCCCGGGACCGGGATCGTCCGCCCTCTCACGATGCGGTCGAAGAACCACTCCTCGCAGTCTTCGGGTCGTTCCGCGACGATGACGCGACGACGACGTCGGGGCGGAGTCGAAAGGCGTCAGAAGCGGAGTTGAAAGGCTTCGCGGGCGGGGATTAAAAAAAGCATGGGATGTGCGGATAGAATCGCCCGCGCGCGGGTAAAGTCCTGTCCTTAAGGATCGGCGTGCACATCGCGAACGCGGTCGTATGGGGACCAGTGTGGTAAGATATATAGAACGCGCCTTTGTTGTTGCCGTATCCGGTGAAGTACTGCGGGCGGAACGACGACATCTTGAACGGCATCGTCTTGAGATGCGCCTCCACCTTGGCGTGCCCGGCGCTCTCCTTCACCGCGTCGCCCTCGAGGTGCGGCGGCGTGACCGTCGGGATGTACATCCCCGCGGACGACACGAAGAAGAACTGCTTCGCGCCGGCTTTCACCGCGAAATCCGCGACGGGCCCCACGGTGTCCATATCCTTCCCGTTGTTGTCCACGACGACGTCGAACTCGGGCTGCCCCGGGAGCGTCGCCAGGTCGTTCGGGTTCGCCCACATCGTCTTCACCCCCGCGGACGTGAGCTCGCCGAAGTACGTGAACGGCGGCTTCTGCATCTTTTTGTCATCCGCGGTGCCGACGACGCAGAGCGTGACCGCGTGGCCGTGCGCGGCGAGCGTCTTGGCGAGCCAGAAGCCGATGTTCGCGTGCCCGCCGCCGTTCGTGTTGACGATGAGGACCTTTGAGGGCGGCGCGGCGGCTTGGACGCGGACCGCGCGCGCGCGAGGCGCCTGGGCGGAGGAGGGGGGGAATGGGGGGGATGGGAGGGAGGGCGTCGATGAGAGGAGGCCGCGGCGCGAGAACGGAGAACGGCGAAGGATAAGAAGAGATCGACCGACGACGCGATCGGCTCGCGCGATACTGTAGTTCAGGCGGACCGGCGGGCGGGACGACGCGCCGACGCGTGGGGCGCACCTTGGCGCGGCGCGCGGTGCGGCCGTTCGCGCGGCGGATGAGGCGCGCGCCGGAGGGCGCGCGGATGCAGGCGCTCGTTGCCGTGGCGGCCATGTCGTCGAGTGCGGGCGGGAGTGCGCGCGAGGAGGGTGCCGCGCGGACGATCAGCGTGCTGACTTGGCAAGCAGACAGTTTTAGCGCGATCTTGTTATACAGTAATCTTTTGCGGCGGGACGCACAACTGTCGCGGCGGCGGCGGCGGCGGCGGTCGCGGGAGTCGCGTCTGCGTCTGCGTCAGCGCTTGGCGCGCGCGCGACGCCTCCCCGGCGGTCGGCGCGGGACGCGCGAAGGGCCCGGCGTCGGCGCGCGGCGGCGCGGTCGCGTTCGCGTTCGCCACCGCGATCGCGATGGCTGCGCGAAACGCGAGTTCGGCACGAATCGCGCGTCAACCTCTCGCGAGTCCCCGCGTGTTCGACAGAGTGTTCGCGTATTCGTTAGCGTGTCTTACTCTCGGTTTGATTTGGAACCTCGCTGCCGATGCGGGCTCATCTCAGGTAAAGTGCGCGCGACCAAAGCGCGTCGCGCTTCTGATGTACGGCGAAGCGCGATCTCTGAACGTGACGCACTGCAGTATACGCGAGAACGTCGTGGCACCGTTTCTAGACGCCGGGCACAGCGTGCGCGTCTTCGTAAGTGCACGTGACGACGCGGACGTGTGGCAGTACGGTGCTTTCATTAATAAATGCGAGGAAACGTTCGGAAGCGAAGCCTTCTCCGGGAAGGTGGTCGTCGAGACCCCGACGAAGCCACCGGGTACGTGCGTGGACGCGGTGTGGGCGATGTACGAGAAGAGCAAAGCGTTGGAGCCGGCGTGGGGTAAGCCGTACGTTGAAGAGTTGCTGGTGCAATTTGCGCAGAGGGAGTCGGCTAACACGCTTCGACGGAAACACGAAGAAGCTAAAAATAACGATGGCGCCTTCGATATCGTCGCGCTCGTCCGCCCCGATGCACAGTACGCGTCCAAACTGCAGCTTCATCGTTTGCCGTGTACTCCCCAGCCGCACACAGTCCACGGGCCGGGGTGGCAGCAATACTTCGGAATGAACGATAGGATGTTGATCGCGTCGCCGCCGGGCGCGGCGTTCAACCACTACATCTCGATGTACAGCGGCTTATGTCTGGGCGATGCAAATGAAGGCAAGAAACCCGCGGCGATCGAGATTCCGCGCACGAAAAAAGGGTTGAACGCCGAGCGCTTATACGCGTGGTGGATGCGGCGGCCCGACTTGGCCGGGTATGATGATAAAGAGAACCATGATATCGTCGCTCGGAAAGCGGACGAGCTCGCGAAGCTCACAGGCGTACGATCGAGACTCGCGGCGGAGTGGAACAAGCGAAGATGGCGTTTTACAGTCTCCACGAACCTGCTGCGGGACTTTGTGTTTTATCGCGTGAGGCGCGGCGAGACGATTTCGCAGTCTCCTGACGCGAAATTCGGTGTCTGGGCGAATTCATTGGGCTTTTTTGGTTTGGGAACCGGTGGTTTGGGTAGGAATACGTCGCCGAAGCGATGGGTAGACGTGTTGAAGGATGCGGCGTCGTGCGATCCGCTGGTTAAAAATGTGGAGGGTTCGGGCGCGTTCCGGAAAAGACTCGAAGGGACTTCAAAAAAATGAAATGGTTTTACATCATCGTCGTCGCGACGCGGTGCGTGCTTCGTCGTCGTATCATACAGTCGTCGTCGTCTCTTCGTTCGTTCGTTCGTTCGATCGATCGTTCGTTCGTCGCGTTTCATTCTCCTCGGTCCCGTCCACCGATCCCTTGGTTCGTCTCCGGCACGATCGGCACCGCCCAGTCGCAGTTATCCTCCACGCCGAGGTTGTCCACGCCGCGGATAATCTTGAACCAGCCGGACTCGCCCCAGTACGTCCCCCACGAGTTCCGACCGATCCAGTACTTCGTCCCGTCCTCCGTCGTTCCGTACCCCGCGATGGAGATGATGTGATCCTCTTGCGTGCACCCGGTCGTGTCCTCGAACACGCCGCCGGCGTAGGCTTCGAACTCGGGGGTGACGCAGAGGCCGCACGCGATCGGTCCTCGCGTCGCGATCTCAGCCATCATCTTCTCTTCGCCGGACACCGTGCCGTGCTCGCTGATGTGATACACCCTCGCCGCGGGCTCCTCGATCGCGTAACACCCCTTGTTGTTCGCCGCGAACGGCGGATCGCACGTCTGACACTTGTGCATCGCGCTGCACGCCATGTCCTTGGCTTGGTAGTTTTGGCACGTCTCGTCGGTGACGCCGTTTTGTAAGATCCACTGATACGCCGCCGTGGGGTCGCCGCCGGAGCATCCCTGCGTGCCGCCGCCGGTGACGCAGTCTACGAGCACCTGAGGACTGAGGTCGATCTCCGGGAACGCGCCGTCGCGCATCAGCGCGAGTCGATCGGACATCGCGGACGTCGTCCCGTGCGCCCAGCACGAGCCGCAGTACTGCGGGATGTGCTGGTTGCGGTTGATGGACGCGAGGCTGAGGGTCGAGGGTCCATACAAAGCGAATGTCGGGGTGGAGTTCAAAGGCGTCAGAAGCGGAGTTGAAAGGCGCCGAGGTGCGTCGGGATTGAAACCGAGGGACCCTGGGCGGAGAGATGCGCCGGGAGAGAAAGTCCTTAAGGATCGGCGTTCATATCGCCAACGCGGTCGTATGGGGACCAGTGTAAGGAGAACGCGCCTGACGCCGCCGAGTACGTCGCGCACGTCGTACGACGCTGGGAGGTCGGCGACGCCGATAGTCTCGTGCGGCTCCGGCGTCTTCACGGACGTCTCGATCAGGACCGGAGAGCGACGCGCGCACGGGGTGACGTAGTCGTGGTGCGTCCCTTTTTTTACCGCGGGGTTCGTCTTGTAGGATCTCTTCTTCTCCGTCGTCGGCGTTTTCGGCGGGTTCGGCGGCGTCGTAGGCGCGCGCGTCTCCATCTCCTTCGGGACGCCCCACGTGCAGTCCGTCTCGATCCCGAGGTTTTGGCCGTGCATCTTGATTCGGAAGAACCCGCCCTCGCCCCAGTACGTCCCCCACGAGTTCCGTCCGATCCAATACTCCTCGCCCGAGTCGTCGTCGACGCCGTAGCCGACGAGCGACAGCTCGTGGTTCGGGAAGTACGGCGTCCACTTCCTCTCGGAGTAGATCCCACCCGCGTACGCCTCGAACCCGTCCGTGACGTGGATCCCGCACGAGATCGGCCCTCGCGTCGCGATCTCCGCCTTGATGCGCTCCGCGCGCGTCGTGACGCGGCCGGTCGCGTCGTGGTCGTCCTCGGCGAAGTCGCCGAAGTCGCCCACGGTGTACTTGGTATACGAAACCACGGGCGCGCACGTCCCGGGAAGAAACGGCGCCGGGTCCGTCCCGGGCTCGCACGTCTCGCACCGCCCGTACGGATCGCACTTCCCGTCGACGGCCTCGTAGTTCTGGCACGTCTCGTCTGGGAGACCGCGCGACGCGATGTACTCGTACGCCGCCGCGGGGTTGCCGCCCTCGCAGCTGCCGCCGCCGCGGCAGTTGATGAGGACTTGGGGCGAGATGATGATCTCGGGGAAGGTCGCGTTCCTCTGAGGGTCGAGGGTCCATACGAGCGATGATATCGGGGTGGAGTTCATAGGCGTCAGAAGCGGAGTTGAAAGGCAACGCGGGCGGGGATTGAAACCAGCGAGGGGTGGGCGGAGAGACACGCCGGGAGGAAAAGTCCTTAAGGATCGGCGTTCACCGCGCCGACGCGATCGTACGGGGACCAGCGTGAGATAGAACGCGCCTGAATCTTCAGCCGGTCCGACAGGCTCGACGTCGTCCCGAACGCCCAGCACGAGCCGCAGTACTTCGGGATGTGCTGGTTGCGCGTCTCCGTGAGGTAATTGACGCCGTTCACGTCGCCCCAGAAGACGTTCACGGCGAGGTCGCGGACGTCCATCTCGTGGTGCGGGCGCGGGGATCGAACGCGCGGGCCGGAGGAGGATTTGGAGGAGGAGGAGGAGGATGACCACGTCGCTTTCGTTCGGCATCCGCCTCTGTGCCCGCGGCGGCCGGTCGCGGCGTCGGAGACGGCGTTCGCGGCGTCCGCAACGCGCGCGACGACGCCGTCGATGAAGCGCTCGTAGGCGCCCCTCATCGCGGAGGACGAGGACGACGCGACGCGGTTTTTCTTTTCAAACGACGACCGCGCGAAAGGTCGCGCGGCGTGCGCGCTCCCGGGGGCGAGCGCCAGAAAGAGCGCGAGCGCGAGGAGCGCGCGTCGCGCGAAGAGCGACGACGCGCGCGTCGCGGCGCGCGCGACGGCGCGGGTTGGGGCGGGCATCGCGAGGACGAGGGTCGTGCCGCGCGCGGGCGGATATGTGGAAGTGACGTCAGATCTCTTCGCGCCAAGACTGGAAGTCGCCGGAACGCGCTGACGTGACAGGAAGATCGCGAACCTTCGTTACCAGCAAATCGCTCGTTAGGTCTGCCGTCGTCGTCGTCGTCGCTCGCGCGCACAGGACGCGGCGCGAGGAAGACGAGGAGGAGGTCTTCGACTCGCCGCGGACGGGGAGAGCGCGAGCGCGGCGCCGCTCGGATGGCGGGGATGGCGGACCCCGGGGGCGGAGGACGATGGCGCGCCGTCGCGTCGTCGTCGTCGGCGTCGTCGACGTCGGCGTCGTCGGCGTCTTTATCGTCGACGATTATTCATCTGATGAATCATCGTCGGAGCGCGGTGGTCGCGCGACGGCCGTCCGACGACGACGAAACGCGACGACGCGGACGCGGGTCGCTCGCGACGATGCGCGGCGTCGGCAGCGGGTTCGGAAAGTGGATGCAGAAGACGTACCCGGAGTGCTTCGAGACCCACGGAGGCTTGCGCGGCCAGGGCGACGGCGGAGGCGGCCGAGGAGGAAGAGGTCGAGGCGGAAGAGGGACCGCGGGCCGAGGCGGCGGCAGACCCGTGGATCCACAGCGCACACAGCTGGGGACGTACGACCACGTCTACGTCGACGTCAACAACGTCCTCCACGTCGCCGCGCATCACACCAAGACCGAGGAGGCGTTCTTCAAGAAGCTCTTCGCGCTGCTCGATCGCACGATGCGCCTCACGCGCCCGCAGTACACCGTCACGCTCGCGCTCGACGGACCCGCGCCCATCGCGAAGACGATCACGCAGCGCCGCCGACGCATCCGCCTGTCGAGCGGCGAGAAAGTGCCGCTCTCCGAGGACGCGCCGCGGCTCCTGAAGATCGGGCTCACGCCCGGGTCCACGCTCGCGCTGCGGATCGACAGAGCGCTTGAGTACTACGCGGCGACGCGTTTGCTGTCGAGAAACCATCTCCCGAGGGGCGTCCTGTTTGAAATCTCCGGGACGCGCGTGCCGGGCGAGGGCGAGGTGAAGGTGCTGCGGAGCATGAAGACCAGGGAGAAGAACGCGCGGTTCAAGGGCCACTCGCATCTCATCGTGAGCGAGGACAGCGACGCGCTGCTGCTCGCGCTGACCGCGGAGCCCGCCAACGTGTTCGTGCTGTCTTCCAAGGTGCGTTCTATCTCACACTGGTCCCCGTACGACCCCGTTCGCGTGGTGAACGCCGTTTCTTAAGGACTTTCTCTCCCGGCGCATCTCTCCGCCCACACCTCGCTTTCAATCCCGACACAACTCGACGCCTTTCAACTCCGCTTCTGACGCCTTTCAACTCCACCCCGACGTTCGCTCGTATGGACAATTACCCTCAGCTCGTGTTCTCCGCCGCCGCGTTTAACGCGTCGCTCGCGGACGAACTCCCGCGCGGCGTCGGGATCGCGGGCGCGCGCAGGGACTTCGTCGCGCTCGCGGTGATGATGGGGAACGACTACCTGCCCGGGTCGAGATTCGGGGTGAAGTACTCGTGGCGCGCGTACAGGCAGCTGCGCACGGGCGAGCCCGGACCGTGGATCACGGTGGACGAGGAGGAGGAGCTCCTCGATCCCGCGGATGGCGACGGCGTAGACGTCGCGATCCCCTCGAGCTCGAACCACTCCGTCGCGAAGGACGTTGCGTGGGGGAAGTACAGAGACACGCCTCTGTTCCCCTCGCCGACGGAGCGGGACCTGAGCGAGGACGTGTATCGGTGGGGGGACGGGCACGCGCGGGGCGCGGCGTTCACGGCGGGGAAGATGGCGTTTCGACACCCGCCGCCCGTGCACTGGGAGATGTTGCGGGACTTTTCAAAGGTGTTATCCGACCCGGAGTACGTGAAGCGGCAAGTGCACGACGGTTTACGGCCCAGGGCGGACGTGCAGAGGTCCGTGAACGCCGCCGCGGCGCTCGTCGCGTGGTTCGGAGACGACGACGACGACGACGACGACGCGGGAGACGACGACGACGACGACGACGAAGACGAAGACGACGATGACGCGGCGTCTTCCTCCTCCTCCGCGGTGAAAGCGGCCGTCGTCGAGCCGCGCGTTGCGAACGTCGCGGGCGTCGGCGGCGTCCTCCGCGCGAGCGCGGACCCGCAGCAGAGCACGCGACGCGCGTACGAGTACGTCCAAGCCGTCGGCTGGGTCTTGGAGATGTACTACGCCGGCGCGTGCCTCGACTACGGGTACAACTTCGTCTACCCCACGACGGATTCGAAGAGCGACATGAGCGAGGCGGACTTGAACGAGGCGACGAAGGCGACGTTGGCGGCCGCGGCGGCGGCCGCGAAGGTCGCGCCCGGAGGAGGGGGCGGCAACAGCGCGAACAACGGCAACAACAGCGGGAACAACGCCGCCAACGCCAACCCGGGCGGCCGGACGCAACTGCCGCCCGTGCATCCCGTGGACGTCGCGGATTTCATCTCGATCCCGCTCACGTACGACCCGACGCTTGACCCTCTCCGCGACCCCGAGCGCGCGTCGATCGCGTACCTGAACCGGTTCCCGATCACCCCGCTGGCGTACTCGCTCGCCGTCATTCCGAGAGGAGGACGGAGCTTGCTCGCGCGGGGCGTTCGGCCGCTCGTCGATCCGGGGAGCCCGGTGTATCACCTGTTCCGCGACGACTACTGCGTGACGTGCATCAAGCACCGGATCACCGCGGGGCCGCTCGAGCGCGTGATTCAGAGAGAGGCGGAAGGCGGCGGCGGCGGCGGCGGCCCTGGCGGGATCATGAAGCCGAGGTCGGGGATGGACAAGGACCGCATCGGGAGCAGGGCGGAGAAGGTGCTGCTCGCGAAAAAGTTTGCCGGCGGCGACGAAGAGATTCGCAAAGCCGCGCGCGCGGGCGGCGACGTCGCGAAAGAGTTTCTCCGAAAACTCAACCGCCGCCACCTCACGCACATGAGCACCGCGCGGCAGCACGAGCAAGACAAGCCGCCGCCGCCTCTGAACGACCTCGAGGGCGCGGTGGCGCGAGCGTCAATCGACGGCGCGCTCTCCGAAGACGAGGAGACGATTCGAACGCTCGCGGACCAGCCGGTGCTGATCTGGCACCATGGTCCCAGCTCGGACCCGCCGGGCTTGGACTCGAGCGCGCTGACGGCCGAGGACGACATCCCGGCGTGGGCGACGACGGTCGCGCCGCCGGGGTGCCGTCACGTCGGGAAGCTCATGCGAGAGATTCGGAGGTACGACGGCGACGCGAGCGCGGTGGTGAGTCGATGGGCGGTTGGCGGCGAACGCGCGCCCGCGCCTCGAGACGTTGGGGGGGGGGGAGGGAGAGGCGGCGGCGGACGCGGCGGCCAGCGAGACGGCGGCGGCGGGAGGGGCGCAAACACCGCCAACGGACAGGGCGGCGGACAGCGCGGTCGCGGCGGCGGGAGAGGCGGCGGGCGGGCGCGCGGTTGGAGGCAGCCCGCGCCCGCCGGCGCCGCGAGAGGAAAGGAAAAGGAAAAGGAAAATGCGGCGGGGATCGAGACGCCCGCGAACGCGGCGGGCGAGGCCGCGGCGAGGCCGCCGCCCGCGCGCGCGAACAGAGTCGCGCGGTTCAGAGGCGGGCGCGGGGGCAATCGCGCGCACGGCGGCGGCGGCGGCGGCGGCGGCGGCGAACGCGGGTCCTCCGCGAAAGTTCGCGCGTTTCCCTCGATCTCGGCGGCGACGGCGGCGCGGGTCGCGTTCGCGTTTTTGTAGTTGAACCTTATGATATCTTCACGTGATATGCGACGTTCTTCTTCTTCTTCTTCTTCTTCTTCTATCTATCCGTTCACGCCCATGAGACCCTCGAAGACGCCGTCCTCCTGCGTGATGATCTCGCTCCCCACGCAAATCGTCCCCGGCGCGCCGACGACGTTGGTGTACTTCGCCTTTCCCGTTCGTTTCTTCCCGGCGGGGGTGTACCGCTTGTTCCATCCCTCGTACCCGCCGTCCACCTCCGCGATGTCGTCGTACCCCGCCAACACGCCCTTCGCGCGCAGACGCGCGAGGACGACGGCGGCGCCGTCGGGCGCGCCCGTCGCGTCGGCGCCGCCGAGAATCAAGAGCGGTTTCGACTTGTCCGCGTGCGCCTCGGCGAACGCGTCTTCGAACGCGTCGTTCACTTTCGTCTCCCAGTGCATCGGTCGACCGGTGATGATCACCGCGGGGACGTTCACGGACCCGACGGGGGCCTCGCGGTCGTGATCGCGCGCGCCGCGGACGTCGACGAGCGTCACGCCGTCGTTTTTGAACGCGTCGAACGCCGTCGCGACGTCCACGACGGGCCACTCGCGATCGAATTTCAGTTTCGGCGGTTTCGGCGGCGGCGGCGCGGCGCGAGAACTCTTCTCCTCCGGCGGCGGCGGGTTTCTTCGTCTCTCTTCGTCGCGCTGTCTCTGCGCCGCGCGCATCGCCTCGGTCGCGTTCCTCTCGAGCGCCTCCTGCCGCGCGCGTTGTTCGTCCGTCATCGTCTCCGCGGCGACGACTTCGGGGGGCGGTCTCTCCCTCCTGCTCGGATCTTCCCTCACGACCTCGTCCCAGTCCTTCATCGTTCTCATGTAGTCCTCGCTCAGGCGCTTCTCGTTCACGAGCCGCTGCTCGCGCGCGAGGTCGTCCGCGTGTCGCATGAGCGCCTCCTCGGAGCAGTCCTGCACGGTAAAGTCGGGTTTCCAGAGCACGAAATCGCCCGGGTCGTGCTCGTCGTCCGGCCGCTCGCGCGTCCTGTTCTTCATCAGGTGCTCGCCCATGGCTTTCGTGACGTGCCGCTGCCCGGTCACCGGGTCCGGGGTCTCGCTCCGGAAGCTCTCCGCCCACTCGACGATGCACCGGTCGTACATCCGCGCGCGCGTCGCGCCGAAGAAATCGAGCGGCTGACCCTCGTGTCTCGCGACGAGCCGCTCCACTGTCTCCCGGCTCACGTCGTCGTCGCGGTACATCGCGTGCACCATGTCCGCGATGTCCGTTCGCGTCGGCTGCCAGTAAAACTTCTCCATGCGCCCGTCGCGAAGGAGCGGCGCGTACAGCGTGCTGAGGTCGTTCCCGGTGACGATGATGGGCACTCGGCGGATTCTCTCCTCCTCTCGATACTCGTGAATCTCGTCGTCCTCCTCGTTCGACACCTGCGTCGGGTGGTCGCACAGGTTCATCAGCGTTCCCATGACCATCTGCGTGTTCACCGTCGCCTGCGTGCGCTTAAATCGTCCCACGCCGGCGTCGATGTCGTTGATGATGAGGCACGACATCTTCCCATGGTTTCGAATGATCTCCGCCGCCTTGCGGTACCTGAGGGTCGTTCCATACGAGCGATGATATCGGGGTGGAGTTCAAAGGCGTCAGAAGCGGAGTTGAAAGGCAACGCGGGCGGGGATTGAACGCGAGGGGTGGTCGGAGAGAATCGCCGGGCAAAGTCCTTAAGAATCGGCGTTCACCACGCCGACGCGGTCGTATGGGGACCAGTGTACAGAACGTACCTCGAGCGAATCAGACGCCCGGGGTTACCCGCCCACTCGTCCTCGAGCTCGCCCGCGGACATCACCACCGGGGTTATGTCCAAGGCTTTGCACGCGAGCTCGAGGTTAAACGTCTTGCCGCACCCTTTCGCGCCCCACACGCCCAAGATGAGCGGCACTTTCGTGAGGCCTCCGAGAGGATTCGCGGACGCGCCCGGGTTGTCGGAATCCGCCATCAGATTCTTAGCCACGTGCAGCGACACCTTGTCCACGAACAGCGGCGGGACGTGGAAGTCCCCGAAGAGGTTCTTGAACGATCGCACGTGCTCGACGTCGCGGTATCGCAGTCGTCCGGACGCGATGTCGCTGTCCGCGCCGAGGTTGAATTTCGCGTTCGCGGTGCCGGCGAAGACGTCGTCGATGATGCCCTTCCTCGCGCCCACCTCCGTGTTCGTGTTCGAGCTCTGCTTCCCGAGCTCGACGAGGTAGTCCACGCCCTTGACGTCCTGCGACGTCTCCGTCGCGGTCCAGGAGGACTGATGACGACCGTGACTGGCGGCGGCGCGCGAGGGCGGCGGGCCCGCGCGGCCGTCGTCCGCGTACGGGTCAAAGTCGAGGTCGCGGTCGTCGTGATGACCGCGCGCGGCGCGACGACGCACGTCATCATTATTTCTCGTCGTCCACCGGCGATGCCGCGCGCGGGACGGTCGGAAACCGTCGCGGCGGGTCGCGTCACGGCGCGACGCCGTCGCGATGCGCGGCGTCGCCGTCGCGGAGGGCGCCGCCGCGCGCATCGCGCGCGCGCGTCTTCCCGCGGGGTGGTGCGGCTCTGCTCTGACCTCTGTCTGCCACGAGATGCAGATAAAGTTTTTACACGTGGCGGCCGGCTGGGAAAACACCCAATATTTCACGATGATGCGGCAGGGTGAGACGCGCGCGCCACACGCAGACGCGCCGACCACGATGTCCACGCACGCCACGCGATGCGCGAGCTCTGTCTCTACCGCGGTCGCGTCGTCGTCGTCGTCGTCGTCGTCCAGGCGCCGCGCGTCTTCGCACCGCGCGACGACGACGACGACGCGCGCGAGCGGCGGGGACACTACGACCGACGCCAACCAACAAAAGCCATCGTCGAAAACGTCGTCGTCGCTCGTCACGCGCCGAGCGCTTCTCGCCGGCGTCGCGACCGCCGCGCCCGCGGCCGACGCCGCGGCGCGATGGACCGCGGACGGCTTAGACCCCGACCGCGCGTTCTTCCACGCGTTCCCGCCGATATGGGAGCCGTACTTTGGCTGGGGCGAGCGTCGCACGGTGACGCGACCCATCGTCGACGGGATCATCTGGTCGCTCGAGCAAGAGCAAGCGCTCGACGTCCTCGCGATGAACGTTCGCACGACGGTCGTGAAGCTCGCCGCGGACGGGTCGCTCGTCGTGTTTTCGCCGCAGGCGCCCACGGGAGAGTTCTTCCGCGCGATCGACGCGCTGGGTCCGGTGTCGCACGTGGTCTTGCCGACGTACGCGCTCGAGCATAAGGTGTATCTTCCCGCGTTTTGCCGCCGGTATCCAAACGCGAGGGTCTGGGTCGCCGACGGGATCTGGAGTGTACCGATCGATCTCCCGCTGCCGCTGCTCGGGATCGACCCGTCGAGCGGCGGCGTCTTGAAGCGCGCGGAGGATCGCGGCGCGGACGACGTCGCGCCGCCGTGGGCGGACGAGATCGACTATAAGGTTCTGAGAGTGGACAGCGCGGGCGCGAACCCGTACGTCGAAGCCGTGTTTCTTCACGCGGCGTCCAAGACGTTAATCGTCACGGACTTGGTGCTGTCGATCCCGGCGACGCCGCCGGAGGTGATCAGCCGCGAGCGGCTGCTAAACCTCGCGCCGAACGACCCCGCGGACGCGCCCGCGGCGGACACGGAGGAGAATTTGAAGATTGGGTGGGCCAAGGCGTCGCTCGTCGTGTCGTTTCTCGGGCCGTCGCGGCAGTCGCAAATCAAAGGCGGAGCGTACGACGGGAAGCTGAAGTGGGAGCCCGGGTTCGAGGCGAGCTTCGAGAAGATCAGCGACCGGCTGATACCGTCGCCCATCCTTCGCACGCTCGTGTTCAGCAAAGGGAAAGGCCCGACGCGGCGGTTCGTGAACGAGGTGTGCGACGACTGGGGCGGCCAGTTCGAGACCATCGCGCCGGCGCATTACGACGCGCCAGTGCCGGGCGACTGCGCGTCGTTGCGCGCCGCGTTCGCGTTCATCGACGACCCGGGCGAGGACGGGTTGGGGTTGTCGACCCCGGGCGCAGAGCTGCCCGCGGAGGACATGGGGGTTTTGTTGCAGGTGAACGACGTCCTCGAGAAGATCGGTCTGGGGAAAGGGACGGAGCTGTAGATTTTATTTTGATGAGAGCGGTCGTTCGTTGAAGTTCATCGGTAAGAAACGTTCCTTCTTCTACGCGTAGCGCGAGCGCTCTCTGCTATAAATGATCCATCCCTCCACTGGGGAGCTCCTCCCTCCTCCTCTCGTTTCGGACGCGGCGTCGTGGGTACCTAGGGGAGCGTTCTCGTCCTCGCTCACTGACTCCCCGTTCGCGGCCCCGCTCTCCTCTGATACGACCGCGCCGTCGCGCACGGCTGCGACTTGGCGTGTTCGCGTAAAAACCTGAACCGTTCCTCGACGTCCCTCGCCGTCGCGCCGCCCACCGCGGTCGACTCGCGCGCGAGGCGCCGCCACGTCTCGATCGAGTCGCCGGTCTCGTGCGCCGCCATGATGATCGCGCGATCATGGTCGGGCTGCCATTTGTGCGGAACCACCGGCCGCAGCGGCGACCGCGTCGTCGTCGCCGCCGCCGCGACGACCGGCGGGGTATCCCTCCGCTCGATCGCGGCGACGATACCGGTCATCGTCGTCGGCGCGGCGCCCGCGTTTGTTGATGACGCCAGAGTACCCCCGCGCGCCGGCACCGGCGCCGGCGGTGACGGCGGCGGGTTTGTGTCCAGCGAGGCGATGATCGCCGCGGCGTCCGCGAGCGTCGCGTCGCCGTCCGCCATCGCCGTCGCCATCTCCTCGTCGTCGCTGTCCTCCAGCGCGTCGCGCTCCACGTCGGCGTCGTCGTCGTCGTCGCTGCTCGCGATCTCCTCGCGTTCAGCCTTGTTCGGCGACGGCTCTTCCTCGTCGGACTCGTCGATGACTTCGCGTTCCGCGCGCGCGGCGGCGGCTGGCTTGGCGGAGGTTTTATTAGGGTTGCGTCCTCCTCCGTCGTCGTCGTCGTCGTCGCTATCCATGACGTCTTCGGACTCGAACGTCGCGAACGCGTTGTGCGTCGTCGACGTTGGATTCGTTTGATTCGGGTTCGGATTCTTCGGGTTCGTCGGCGCCGGCGCGGGAGGCGCGAGGAGCGGCAACGGCACGCCCGCGGCCACCGCGGCGGCTTCCCTCGCGTCCTGCGTCTCGTCCCCGCCGAGCAGCAGCCGCGTCAGCGCGACGTCGGACGCGCTTGCCGTCGCGCGCGCGGGCGACGCTCCGATTTGGTCTCCGTGCGCGCCGTTAGCGTGGCGTACCACGTCGAAGCCGGGAGGGAACGACCCCAGCGTGCTGTCCTCGTTGAACAGAAGCGACGCGAGCGGTCCCCGCGGCGGCTGCGGCAGCGGGTGCGCGTCGTTTTGGTGCGGCTGGTGCGGCTGGTGCGCGTGCTGCTGCTGCTGCTGCGGCGGCGGATGCACGACGACCGCGGTCGGGGACCCGCCGCCGCCGCCGCCGCCGCCGCCGCCGCCGCCGCCCGAGCACAAGACGCCGGCGCCGAACAGCGACGGATGGAACCCCACGCTCGCCGCGTTCGCACCAGAGCCGCCGCCGGAACCGCCGCCGCCCCCTCCCGGAGCGGTCGGCTCCGCGACGCGCGGCGTCCTCGGCACGCTCCGATGCGCGTCCACGGTCGCCGCGGTGTGGAACGACGGGTGGATCATGTTGATCGCGGCGCGACTCAAGCTCGGGTGCGCGGTGCCCGCCGCGGGGGGCGGATCTGGGTGCGCCTCGCGCCACAGACGCTCGAGGCACGACGGGTGCCGGTGCGGCAGGAAACGCGCGCAGATCGACTCCCAATCCTCGGAGCCCTGCCTCGCGCCCATGCGGAACAGCGCCTCTTGGATCGTCGCGATCTCGTTCGCCATGAGCGGCTGCAGGACTTTCTGTTTCGCCGTCTTCACCGCGTTGGGGCCCTTGCTCCGCGCGGTGCTGCACAGGTTCTTCTGTCTCTGCACGATCGCCTTCACCCCCTTCGTGGGAAGCAGCTGCCGGTGAATCTTCTCCCACTCCAACCCGTACTGCTCGATCCCCTGCGCGAGGAGCGCGTCCTCGCTCGGGAGCCACGCGAGCTTCTCAGGGTTTAGGGTTTGCTTCAAGTCGGGCACGCGCGGAAGCAACCTCGGGTTGGCGCACGACGCCAAGACGCGAGACGCGTCCACGATCACGCGCGGGATGCGGACGTAAAACGGCACCATCTCGTGCGGCGGCGGCTTCCGTCGACACCGCACGCCGTCCTCCTTGCTCCAGTCCGTCGCCGCGGTCCGCGGGTCCGCGCCCTCGCCGTGCGGGCGGAACAACTCGGACAGACGCGCGAACGCGTGCTCCGCGGAAGCCGCCGCCGCCTTGCCCGCCTCCGCGTCTAAACCCGCGGCGCTCGGCGGCGGCGCGATCGCCGGCCCCGCCGGGACGGGCCACCGTTGCCAGCCGCGCATGACGTCCATGACGAACCTCTGCGCGCCGCGCAGGGGCGCGACGTCCAGAACCGTGTACACGTTCTGCCCCGGGGGTTTCGGCCACCACGGCGCCGAGTCCGTCCCCGCCGACGGCGGTGCTCTGAAACAGCTCGCCGCGTGCGGCGGATCTTTCCGCTGCGATTTCGCCTGCAGCCGCGACGTCGTGAGGTACACCATCGCGTTGATGTTGTCCAGCGTCTGCCGCGCGACCTGCTGCATCTCCGGCGCGGGGTTCCACGCGGTGCGAGCGAAGGTCTGAAGCAAGAGTTGCACGTGATCGTGGACCATCCCGTGCAACGCGCCGATCTGCGAAGGGGAGAAGTCGCCGCCGCTGACGCCTCGCGGCAGCGACGCCGCGCCCGCGGCGGCGGCGACCGCGGCGTCGCGTCTCTGCTCCGCTGCGACGCGCAGCATCCTCCGCGTGCGCACGGTGCTGTATATCGGTCGCTCCTTGTACTGCGGCCTCTCCGACTTTGGCTTGTACACGTACGGCTCGTTCTTTCGGTGCTTCGTCCGCCGCTGCGCGGGGGGCAGGTTCTGCAGCTCGTTCAGCGACTTGAGTCTCCGATCCACGCGCGCGGCTTTCGGGTCCACGAGCGCGTAGTCGTCATCGTCGTCGTCATCGTCATCATCGTCGTGCTCGTCGTCGCCGTCGTCCCCGCCGCCGCCCTCACCGGGCGCGGGGACGTTGAAATCTAAACTGATCGCGCTCAGAAAGTTCGCGTACTCCTCGTCGTCGTCGAAAAACTGAGGGCCGTTCCATACAAAGCGACGTCGGGGTGGAGTTCAAAGACGTCAGTTGGAGTTGAAAGGCGTCGAGGACGGGGATTGAAACCAGCGAGGGGTGGGCGGAGAGATGCGCCGGCAAAAGTCCTTAAGGATCGGCGTTCACCACGCGAACGGGGTCGTATGGGAACCAGTGTATAGAACGCGCCTGATATGCGTCCTCGTCCGCGGGCAACGGCATCATCTTCTCGAGGTAGTCCACGTCCACGTCGTGCAAGTTGACGTGCGCGCGCGTCCGCTTCGCGATCATCCCGGTGTCGGAGGTCTCGCCGTCGCTGTCGTCGCGCGCGCCAGAGTGCGGCCGCTTCAGTGACTGCGCGGCGCCGCCGCCGCCGCCGGGGGACGTGACCTCCTCGCCGACGCCGCTGAACGCCGCGCGCGCGACCGCCGACGTGCACGGCGTCGCCCCCGCGCTCGCGGTGACCCCGCCGTCGGCGTCGTCCGCGGTCTCGTCGTCGTCGTCGTCGCGCGCGCCGCGGCGGGCGCTCACGGACGCGTCGAGCGCGTTGGAGTCCTCGGGGACGAGCGAGACGGATTCTAAATCGTCGTCGGACGACGAGTCGTCGTCGGAGTCTGTGTCCTCCTCGTCGCTGTCCACGAGGTCTTCCGTCTCCGCGGCGCTGGCGCCGCCGCCGCCACCGCCGCCGCCTTCGGAGCCCGCCGGCGTCGGCGCGTCGCGGTGCGGGAGCGTCGCGAGGAGCGTGCGTCGCGCTTCGGCGTCGGAATCTTCAGCGTCCGAGTCCGAGTCCGAGTCGTCGTCGTCGTCGTCGCTGTCGTCGTCGTCCTTCTCCGGCGTCGTCCCGTCGTCGTCGCTGCCGTCGTCCCCGGGGCTCCGCGCGTTCGGGTCGAAGTCCTCGTCGTCGCTCTCGTCCCCGGTCTCCATACCCGATCGCAGCGACGCCGCGCCGGACGTCGTCGGACGAGGATCTGAGGTTGGCGCGGGGGCGTCGTCGCCAGCCCGCGGGAGCTCGGTGGTGGGCGCGGTCGCGCGCGCGCCCGGGGTGGCGTAGTCGAGCGTCGCCGCAGGCGCCGACGCCGCGGGGGGCGCCGCGACGGCGTCCATCTCCTCGGAGTACAGGTCGTCGATCGCCGCCTCGATCGCGTCCGACGAGAGATCTATTCGATCG